CACATTTCTTCCTGCCATGCTTACTGCCGCAGATGCTGAAAACACTGGCGACAACTTATGACCGGCAGCACAGCGGCCAGTCCCCTTACAGTGATGATCTTTGACATTTTATTGAAAATGTGTTGACTTCTTGTTGACTTTGATTCTTTTTTTTGACATTCTGTTGTCACGGTAAACAGAAAGTTTTTTCCTTTTGTGCTGAAACTTTTCTGGTGATTTTCTTCAGTCCGAGTCAAACGAAAAGCTGTTGGCTTTCTAATTAACTTTACGCTGATTTTTTTCTGCTGACTTCCTATTGACAGTGTCATCAGAATGGCTGGAGTTACGTTTACTCCGTATTGAAAATGTGCCGTTCACTCCCTGTAGCCAGTCTCTGGACTTTTTATTTGAACATAGTATATCTTGACTAGCTATGTCAAAAGTTTCTTTCTAAATAGTCTCCGACAAGGTGACAACGGCAGGAAGCAACGTCAGTGTTGCCGCCTCCAGCGCGAGCATCCTACCCTTGACAACGCGTTGGCGTTCGTGCACCTTGAATGCGCGCATGCAGTGAAAGCACGATGAAAGGCGTGGGGCGTGTGCTGGAGGCCAGGCGTTCGAAAGGCATGCCCTGCCATTAGGACTTTGTAAGTGACTAGTGACTTTAATGACCATATTAAAGGGGTACGGAAATGAAAATTGAAACATACAAATTTCGTTCTGAAATGGAGTCCAGCTAATGGATAATGAACGTGAATGATAATCCCACATCTGTATTTTGAATATACCTCGGCATACCTCCGTTTGCTGTTGGTGGCATTGTGGCGGCATCAATGTGCTACAACCGAGCCGTTCGAAGTACCCGTGGGGTGACGAGCGTTTCACGTGTGAGATCAGTCGTGCGCGTCGTGTTCGTGTGGCCCATTCTCAGAAGGCTAGCCACTCGCTCAAAACTCGGACAAAAATTGCTTCCTTCTAAGCTTACAGTGAGGTGGAAGCTATAAGCTTGGCAAATCAATCAGCCGCCTCCCTTTCATCACCTGCCGTATTCTCTGCGCGTGGGTCTGCGCGAGGGAGCGTGATAATGTGGCGAAAGTGTAGGTGGGGGTAATGATGCCGTAGCTTCTACGGCACTGTCAGCTTAGGGGTGAACGGGGAAGGGAAAGCAACTTTTGTCTGAGTTTTGAGCGACGGGCTAATTGGGAGAATGGGCCACACGAACACAACGGTAATTTTTACACGACGCGCACGACGTTCGTCACCCCACAGGTACTTCGAACGACTCGGATGTAACGCGTTGACGCCACTACAACGCCACCAACGGCAATGCTTGTAACCACTCCGGCCTTTCTACATCACAAATGCTGTGAATATATATTTATGTATTTTGTGCCGGATATTTAATAATGCATCGCGTCCTCCGTTTGGGACGAAAAATATAGCCAGTCGTTCAAAATACAAACGTGCGATTATCATGTACGGTTACTATCCGTCATGTTTCACTCATTTACGAACGAAATTTGTATATTTCAATTTTCGTTTCTGTGCCCCTTTAAAGTAGTAAACTGGTAAAGAAAACCAATATAACTATTTTAAAGTGGAGCAACTGCCTTTACTCCCTTCGTCCCGAGTGGTGCTAAGCAGGGAAGCAATAACATTTGTTCTAGGAGCTGTTTTTAAGGATGTTGTTTTTGCGACTGTGCCAAATTATTATTAGTTGTACCAATACCTTTTAGAAAGAGATAAAGACCACAAACTTTATAACACTGTTTTCCCTTTGACAGACTCCCGAAAAGGATATCGGACACTTGGAACCTTAATAAGTGCTGAGGTGGTCACCGGCAAAATGATTAGCTTCAATATATAGGCTATATAAGGCTCTGGAGCAGTTAACGAGACTGTGTATCTGGTGTTGAGTGCTTCTTGGTTTTGTGTTTGTTTCTAATGTGTATTTGTGGGATATGTAAAGTGCGTTCAGATGTCACAGGGACATTGTTTCCTAACAAAATCCAAAATATATATTTAGGAAATTATCGAGTCTCTTCTTTTTTAATGTTATTCTGCCATAGAATGCATGCCTTTTACCCTTGTTGGTGTTAGACTGGTGGCAGCTGATAAAAACTGTTTGCTCTACTGATGTCTAACCCCTGGTTAGCTCATTTCGTAGAGTTCTCCACTGAAAATGGAGAGGTCCCGGGTTCGATACCCGGACCAGGCGAATTTTTTCGGTCGCGCACCAGTCACCTAGTTGTGCTTGGAGATTTGTGTTTGTCCTTTGACCCTCTTCTTTCCTTCTCCAGGGATTATTTTCACCAGTTTTAATCAGGAAGTAAGTGAGTTGTCAAAATAAACTCTGGGAAACCTCAACAAAGTTTTAAACAAGTTTCAATACGATTCCAAAAAACGCTTAACAGAAGTTCAGAAGAATTTAACTACAGATTTTTGTCAGGGTCATCAGCAGTCACAAGTTGCTTCACGAGCAACCCCGGTCGTAAGCAGTCAAGTGTGTGAACTGCCAAAATTGGTTCCTTTATGACAGTACTCTCATATTGGGCCTACCAAAACTATCTACAGACGTGTTTGAAGCGCACACATATGTGCGCTTCGAACACGTTTGCATTCAGTTTGGTAGGCCTAATATGAGAAAGCACGAGAAAGAAACGTGCCTCGGACGGTGTTTGTGCACTGCCTTTTGCTTCTTGTATGAGTAGTGTGACTGGAACTTTACGGAGCGAGTCAAGAAAACGTCAGCAGATGGTTAGTCTGCTAACGTAAGTGAACAACGGAGTTTGTCTGCTATAAAGCGTCATTCGCAGACAAAAAGAAAACAAGGGAATACTTTCAAGTCTTTGGTTAACGGACCGAAATAAAGGCAGCCGTCTGCTAAAAGCCGAGTGCCACGATGAAGTGATACGGGACGTGAGCTAAAACTATAATGGCCTGCTATACTTCCCTTTCGGTGCAATCGACAGCGAGTGCTCTCTATGCAAATCTCAAGCTCTGCTGCAGTATATAGCTGAAATTCTCGTTTGTATGTAGCACACTTGGGACAAATGCATCAATTACCGCGAAACCCCTCTCACCGTTTGTGAGTTAGAAGTTCTCACCAGAAAGACTCATGAATCAACTAAAGATGTATCATTGGTCGATAACTCTCGCACACCAAAACGCTGGGATGTCGCATCCAATCACTGACTGGGAACGTGATCGCTCTCACCAGGGACAAAACACCGACCTTTAAAACTCGTTTTGAAAAGAAAGGACGTTATCTTGTGGCCTAGCTGGCGAAAAAGGCCTCAACAAGATCTGTAATAAGTGCCATGTTCCAGCCTGAACGATACCCTCAGGGTTCGGGACAATGTTACAGAGGTGGTGGAGAGAAGGTGTTGAAAATGCGTAAACAAAACCACAAACAAACTAATGAAGGATTAGAAAAGTGTTCAGCGATGGCGGTCTTGGAAATGAGACGTCTTTAAAGTGAAGCTGAAGCGTTTTTGTAGTTGAGGAAACACACTTAAATCGTCTTAATTTGGTCTTTAGGAACCCCAATGTCGAAAGTATTTTTTAATTTCGTTGTTTTCGAAGTACCGCTCAAGCCCCCCCTTCTCGGAGTGTGCTGTCATAAAAAGGGTTTTCAAAATCTCCTCTCTCGCGCATCTTCAGCGCCTATCGGAGTTATGCATGCACATTTTTGTTATTTTTACGAAAAGGTCAGTAAAAGACATCACGACTGGTGCCAGTGCCGGGTAGTGGTGAGATTGCAATTGCACGCGCTGCCTCACGATCGACACAAGCTTGCAGGCCGAAAGATACTCCTATGATGTAACGACTGGTCGGAGGTTTTTCGTGTTTCCTCGCGTTTAGTTATATCTTTGGGGAAAACAAACAGAAAATTCAGATTTGCGGGTTAGAACTACGCTAGAATCAACCCCTATCTAACTTTTTGGAAGAATTGTTCCAGCTTCCCTTTAATGGGGACGGAGGAGAGGGGATTGCCACTCTAAGCTTGTGCTTAGTCGGAAGAGAAAAAAAAACAAAAAAACATTGTAGAAGGGATGGTATATTTACACTGGTGATCAATGGTGATAAATTTATACTTGTGATCAATTAACTAAATTATAATGTTTTGTAGTCAACTTCTGTATAATCAAAAGGACTCTTTAACCATTAGAATCTCGGGGAAACTCGTCAACGTGAACCAAGTATCTCAGCTAAAACCAATTCTTCCTCAGTGAGCCCCGCTTATGAATTTTTGGCAAAACGCGAGATTGACTGATGGATCTACACTGAATATCATTTTATGTATGATAGCATCAGTCACATGGATGCAGCACTGACGGAACCGGCACACATTTCCCTTCTGCACTGCAGATGCGTGTTTTCTCGTTTGTTACCTTCTTTTTCTCGTCTCTACGTCGTAATTCGCAATCATTTAGTGCGCAGATTAATCAAGTAATGAATAGCCAACTAGACCAATTCCCAGCAATGGTACCCTTCAGTTTTCGTTTTGCTCATTGAATGCGATGATATTTGAGGTCAGGTAAAGTAACCTTGAGTTGGGGACTGTTTATTAACACTTATTGTTATAAACTTTGCAGGCTGAACTATCTGCAAATCCTCTTAACGCAAGTGTGAACAACCCTTCGCTGCCTGGGAAAGAGGGCCAGCCATCAGCCAGGTCAACCTATGGCAGTGCCAGATCTTTTGACTACATTTTTCCCCTGATGAATGGGATCGACTAGTCGGATCAAATAGGGAATGGCCACACCTCAGCTAACTACATGCAACATTTCCATTACCTTCCCTACTTTTGGTGGCCGACACGGCATGTCCATTTTGTTGATCTGTAATTCTCAAAACCTATGGCAGTGATACACCGTATAGTTTTTGCTTTTCAAGCATGCCTGCCTTTTTTCAGCACTACGAAGCAGGAGCGTTCTACTTAAACCACGCTCTTTGATCATACCCAGTTGTGTCTTCCTCGATTCGTGTGGGTCTCTATGGACGTAGTCCTTTACCACATGTCTAAAGGTGAAGTAAAACCTTCGAAGCACCTGCTTAATAGAGAATGATCGCTTTTATGTTTGGTTTTCAAACATAAAGAGAGAAATTAACTTTTTCAAGATATATTTAGTATCTAGTTAGGATGCTTGTTTTTTTTTGTGATGTGATTATTTTAGCTTTTGAATATTACACCGCAATACGAATGTAAACCCCTGAATTTCTCTACATTATCTGCACGATGTGTCGCTGTTTGCTTGTTCCTTGAGTTTGTGCTGGTTGGGCTTCTCTGTTGGTGTACTATATACGAAAAGAGAGCAACTAAGCAAAATTTAATCTCCATGCCTAATAAAAATTGTCCACGCAGCGTTCGACTACGAATGGCAGAGAACGGACTGCGAGAACAAGGGGGCGGAGCTCTCCTTCCTAGGAGCCGAATTGCAGAAGCAACCATGGAAGATGGACCAGGATAGGAGGACAGATGGCGGTGAGACTTCTGCCCCCAATCTTATGGTGCCCACAGAACTAAGAATACCAGGTATGAGAAGACGCACACTGGACAATACTCATCCAGCTTCATACTTTCTTAGTACACTCTCAAGGATTCGTGAGCGGTCCCACACGGATAGGAAACTTTTCTAGGCTAGGCTTCCCAGGAGGTTGAAAATGTGAGGAGTCTGATGTGGTACACAAGGGTTCCCTCACGTGGACAGTTCATTAAGTTTTAATTAGCAGCCCGCACCAGACAGAAAAGTTGTACTACAACAAAATTCAAAGTTATTTTTCTTAGGAAAGGTTGAAGGGGGGGGGGGGGGGATGAAGGGGTTATATTCCAAAGTACGAGAACTGCGACTCAAGTGAAAGTAAACAAACAAACTGGGTTCTACTGAAGGAACATTCACTTTGAGCACACAATCTCAATAGTTACATATTATTTGATATCAATGAAATGTACTGTGCCTCCTTGGTTATTTATATTACAAAACTGTCTTTTTTCCTTTAGTTTCGGTTGACCGAGTTGCTCTCACAAATACTATGAATTCTTTTTGACACGTGAAATAGCCCAAAAAATGTTTGGCTGTTCCAAATGACTGAAGCTTTTCTCACAACAATATTTGTGTCGCCGAAGTTTAGCTTTAGACTGGCAAATATCAATGTCGATTTAAAACATTGTTTTCTCTGTTTCAGATTATTTTACTAGCCTTTTGAATGCTATATTGTTTAATCTAATACCGTATTTGCACGAATATAACGCGACCACGAATATAACGCGAGGGCAGGTTTTGATGCTTCCCAAAAGAAAAAAAAAATATTATTACTATCATAACGCGAACCGAAGCAGCATCAATTTCTCGCACTCGGGGGCATAGCAGAAGTGAAAAGTCAATGGAAATAAAAGAATTATCAGTTTATGTTTTGACTGCACTCATCCTCACTGCTCAGGTCCTTCCGTTTACAATTTGCTTGGCCACTACGCAGCTTGTTTGGTAGTTACTTTTTCTTCCGTGCGAGCTCCTCGGCAGCCCACAATCCAAAAAGGCACAAAGCAGAAGCACCAACACACAAACACTAAAGGACTAGACCACCCTGGAGCAGAAACTAAACAATGCTCAGGCAGGAAAAAGACTGCTGAACCGATACACCATCACACTTCTTGTTCTGGTGCCTCTGCATAAACAAATGCCTCGTGTTGCACGATTGCGTAAACGCGGTCGGTGGTCTTGGCTTGGCTTGTGTTGACTTGACTTGGCCCGGCTTGGCTTGGCTTGAGTTGGCCAGCGCCCGCACTCCTGCATGGCGGGCGTGCGCTGAGTTTCTGCGGCGTGCGTGCGTTGTACAAACACAAAAGCGATAAAAATGCTTTTTTTATGTTTTCTATTCGCCCCTTCACGTAGCCCAATAGCTAATACATTCCCTTCCACACCCCCCCTTCTTTTCCCACCGGATCTTTTGCATTGAGCCGGAAGAATGGCTTTCTCCTCTGGCTTTCTCTAGACTCGCGTGCCTCGACTCCGGATATAACGCGAGGTGTGTTTTGGAGCACGTAATTTCGAAAAAAAAACTTGCGTTATATTCGTGAAAATACGGTAATCTGCACCCTAAAAGAAGCCAGTGTGACTACTTTCCTGTACAGCACTCGGAGAGCCAATCCCCACAACTTACAGGGGCAACTCGGCGAATGACAATGGCGAAACACAGGTTTAGACCAAAATACGCTGTCACAGTTGTGACATCAAGCATTGCAAAACGTCACGCTTGCATTGGTCAATGTCACAACTCAGACTGCGTATTTTAGTCTAAACATATGTTTCGGCACCGTCATTTGCTGAGCTGCCTCCGTAAGTTGCGGTGATTGGCTCTCCGAGTGTTGTGCGAGAAAGAAGATGCACGGGCTTTTCTTAGAGTGTGTGGTTGTAAGGAAGACTCTTCCAGTGTAACTTAATATACAGACGCAAACATTAAGAATGTCAACACGCTATCACCAAGAGCTCCGTACTGCCAGCGTTATGCAGATGCAGTAGGGAGTTTTAGTAGGCCGTTTCTGCAGCCCGCTAAGCACCCGCATAGCGCTCCGTAATCTGCCGCATGACCTTGAACTGTGTAAACAATGTTGCCGGCGCGCATGCGCAGTGGCGGTGTTTTCTTTACGGATACCGTAGCGGAGGAGAAAAACAATGTTTTACAACTCTCTAGTGTTCTAGGTGTTACCGTAAAAAAGTAATGGAACACGTTACTTGTTACTTGCAAAATAGAGGAACGCGTTATTGTTACCGTTATTGACAGAAAGTAATGCACATTGCTTTTGCATTACTTTTTATTTATAAATTGACAATAACAGCGTTTTTTGTTTTCTTTTTTTTGTGAGAGCATTTTTTGACAGTGGGATAACGGGAGCGGGTGTTGAGGTTTTTCTAAAGTGGAACTTTTTGCTTGGGGAACGGACAGCAAAATTTTGAAAATATGTAGAATGAGTACAATAATTAATGATTTGGATCATATTCTACGTTCCAGCTTAACTCCAGACGCAGCTAATGGGACCAGTAAAGCAGTGGCAAAATCGCAAGTCGCTGGGTCTTGTTTGTTTATGATTGATTCAGCGATGATAGAACACGTCCAGAGACACGGCGAGTGCCATGATGGCGCCCTTTTCACTCTTTCTCATTGGCCCCGTGAGCTTGTAACGTCAGCTGCGTATGGACTTAAAGGGGCCCTGCATTCCTCATTAAGCCTTTTTTGAGGTTTTCACGTCTCTTGTGGTTCGGGCAACCCAGCGGGCGCGGAGAGAGTAACTAAAGATGAGTGCGTTCTATTTTAACTGGACGTCGTGGAGGTCTTCTCCACCTACAGGGGTGCCCCATGGTGCTGAGCACGCTCAACATGTGACGACATCGTGACGTTTCAGGTCCTGGTTAGCTTCTGCCTTACGACTAATGAAAGCCGCTAAAAGCTTTATTATTATTTTTTTTGTCGAAATATAAAATATAAGTGGCGCAAACTGTTTCGATTATTTATGAAAGTAGTTTTTGTTCAGTATCTTAGATCAGAAGAGAAACAAAGGCAGTTTATAAAGTATGGAAACAACAAATGACCTGTCGACATAACCGCCACCATACGGTGGAAAAGGCGGCGCATACTGGGAAGGTGCAGTGGAATCGGGTGCCGACGCGTGCGGCGCACTGCTGTGAAGCGGCAAGCGTAGAAATGTCCTGCATGTAAGTGGCGGCGCTACAGAACTGTCCTTTACCTTGTGTTTGCGGTCGCTTGTGGCCAATGAAGTGTCATGCCGCCGCCTGCTTCATCCAGCCGATCCAGCACATGCTTTAGTGGCGCCCTATTGAGCCGTAGGCACGGAGTGCGGCGGCCGTGAGAGCTCGTTCAGCTCACTACCCCTCCTCTAGTTCACGGCCACCCAAGCCAGGACCAGGGACGTCATGAAGGAAGTTACTATGTTCAGTGTGCTCATGTTTGGTGCAAATTAAAAACCAGTCAAGAGGTCGTTGCAGGGCCCCTTTAAAGGGATACTTCAACAAAATTTGAAATATATCCGTCGTGTTCAAAAATACGTTGAATATAATCCACAATATCCGTAAATGACAATCGCACATTTGTATTTTGAGCCTGTTGGCTCTATTTTTTGTTATAAATGGCCCATTCTGGCAAGCGCTCGGAGAAGGCCCAGCTTAGAGCACGTGACATCCGACGCAATCGTGACGTAGGTCGTCTCGGGATGAGCAAAGCTACCGCGAGGCTGACGTCGAGAGGATGGCCTAGTCGTCCCAGCCACCGAAGCAGCTGCTTTTGTAAGAATTTTGAGTGATGGGTTAATCTCTTATAATCTTGTAGAGGGACAATAGCGACTTCTGGGACACACAAAAGGAATTCTCGGGAAGAAGTGAGTTCCTCCTTCCCCTCTTCTCTCGTCGTGGCCGGAGGCGAGACAATAACCGTCACTACCTCTCAAGGGTCCTAGATGGGCATTACAAACGAGGCGTTAGCGACAGCCACCAGGCGCTCTTTGCTAATCGTTTAATTTGTTTTAAAATTCCTTTTCGTGATTTTTTTAACAAGATATCGGTGTGTTTGATGTGATACTGCTCCTTTGAACACATATAGACCATAAAATAAGCGCTGAAATTTCGTTGTAGTACCCCTCCAAGGTAAAACCAAATATAGAAAGGCGCAAAAAATATAAGTACTTTTTTCAGGTTTTCGGAAGAATATGTATCGGGTAACGTCACTACGTTATCCGTTACTTGAAATAAGTAACGTAAATATGTTACCTGTTAGTGTTTTGGAAAAGTAACGATTACATTGCAAGGTTACTGAAAAAAGAAAGGTGTTAACGGTAACGACGTTACTTTTAACACGTTACCGCCAAGTATGGAAGGGAACTGAAGCCGCGGCCCCCCCCCAGCTTGAGTTCCCTTCCGTACTTGGTTAGCAGAACGCAGAAGCCACCACAGCTTTTGCACCATGGAGCTGCCAGATTAGTCTTTAATGATCGCCTGTAGACCTTTACAAGCATTACGAATGAACCTTTTTAACATCTGAAATGAAAAAATACCTTATTTAGACAGCACTGGCATGACGTAGGCATTCATTACTATGTTCATCTAGGTACTCAAAATTCATGTTCAAAGCGATAAAAACAGCTCCGACCTTTCTTGCTTTGTCGTGTCATCCCAACAGACTGGATCGAAGCATACTATGGCGACAAAGTGGATACCTTTGACTGTGACAGCTGCAGGGGCGACACCTTTCCCCCCACCAACTGGTCGGGCCCACAGAAGCCGCAAATGCACCGACAACTGGACAAGCACCCGTGCGGCTTCTGTCCTCACTCAAGCGATTCCGCAACGGCTGTCGGCATCCACGAGAGGACACACACTAACGAGAGGCCCTTCAGTTGCGGTGTTTGCGAGAAAACGTTTGCGCGTAAGGATTGCTTGACAGCTCACGTTAGAATTCACACCGGAGAGAAGCCGTTCAAGTGCAACACGTGCAGCAAGGTGTTTACTCTGAAACGCACCTTGGCAGATCACGAAAGAATTCATACAGGAGAGAAGCCGTTCAAGTGCAACACGTGCAGCAAGGCGTTTACTCTGAAATGCACCTTGGCGGATCACGAAAGAATTCATACAGGAGAGAAGCCATTCAAGTGCAACACGTGCAGCAGGGCGTTTACTGAGAAAGGCACCTTGGCAGATCATGAGATAACTCACACGGGAGAGAAACCGTACAGGTGCGAGACCTGCGGTAAAGCGTTTACGGCTAAGAGCGGTTTGCACAGTCATCAAAAGATACATCACAAGTGACCAAAACCCTCACGTGCATCATAGTTGTGGAGCGGGTTTAAACGAAATACTCGAGAACCGACTTGTGTTCATTTCGTTTGGCGATAGACCTGCAGGGGTTCTACTTGCGAGCAGTGCAGGTTTTGCATGGTTAAAAATTTTTCAGCCTGTCGTTTATTGTGTAAACACAAATAAAGATATGATTTACCTTAAAAGTGACCAGGGTTCTTTATTGTATACGAAAAATAAAAATACCGGAAGCATAGTATTTTTTATTCATTTAGTCATTAATCAAGGTGCTGCAACTGCAGTCTCTGGGTTGTCTGTAGGATCATTTATGTCCTACAGACAACCCACCTACAGTCGGCCTACTCATACACAAAGGGTATGAAATAATAAAATAACTAAGGTTTTTCAATAGCAATAATCTTGGACCATGTAAAAGTTAAGAAAGTAAGAAAAACCGAGTAATGTGGAGAGGCCAACACATTCTTAAGATATAAACAAAATGATATTGAAAACTGATTAACACACCGATCTGGAAACTAACGCTTTGCGCATAGTACTGGAATAGAGTATACAAGGCTCGAAGAATTTTTAACGCAATGTTATTTCCTATTTTATTTCTTAATAAATATTCTTCGTCCTTTTTTTTTCTTTTCGACCGGTTTGAATTGCTGAATTGCGATAACATTATTATAGGCACGTAGCCAAGATTTTGTTTCGGGGGTGAAGGGGTGGGGTGGGAAGGGCTTGCTTATGACAATGCTCTATGAGGGGGAGGGAGCAGAGGAGGTCCCAGCAAAATGGAAGATTCGGGGGGGAGGCCGGGCCCCATGGCCCCCCACCCCCTGGCTGCGTGCCTGCATCATTCAATGTGCTTGCTACATGATATACTTGTATGTATGGCTTTCTTTTGCATAATTTTACTCTTTTTTTTCACATTCACTAAGACAGTCCTTGATCATTTAGGATATTCATACTTTTAGTGCTATTCATTTGGTATTCATCAAGTTTCACTTGTATTCGTCAGGCCTTTCTTTGCTCGAAGTTCCTCTTCTAGTTGATGGGTCAAATATATTTGTTTTACTAAAGGCATAATTTACTTCATTGTGTATATCCATGGATGTAAAAACTGTATAGGCATAATCCATTTAAATACGTCTTAATCTACGCTGACTGTACATTGGTTTTCACTATTGTGTGGTGCGGCAGAGTTGCTGCGGGTGGAGTTATATTTCCAAGTGTATAAAATATTTGTTTTCACATATACAGGGTGTCTGCTCAAAAACGGGCAAAATTGCTACTGCAAAAAACTAAACATCACAGAAAAAAGCTTGATGCCATAGTGGTCTGTGTCAAAGGAAAATTGTTGGTGTTCAATATAATTGGATAATTAATAAGTACCTAAATTTTTTTATACCGTATTTATTAGAATATAAGTCTACCTTTTTTTTTTTTTCGAAAATGCCAAAAGTTAAGAGGTCGACTTATAATCGTGACCAAAGAATTTCGACCTGCATATGCGAACAAATTTTGCGACTCTACCGAGGGCTTGGAGCTATCGAGTCACTGAGCTGGCACTGCCATAGAGCCGCGCCGCTTCTTGCTTCAAAAAGCTTTTGATGCACGAACACAACCGATAGAGCAGCAACCGACAGCCCCCCCCCCCCCCCCCCCCCCCCCCCCACTGTGGCCGCCGCTCGCGCATATCGCTTGGGCGTCGGATTTCGCCATCGCGCCTGTAGCGTTCCCCTCGCTAAGCAAGGGGGAAGGGGAGGGAGAGGAACATAATGGGCAACGCACCTTGCCTACATTCCTCTCCTTCGCAAATGCGCACAAAAAAAGAAAAAAAATGGAGGTTACTTTAGCTTGTTGCTCGCGGCGCCTCGCGGCGTTGCTAGCTTCTTTGAATTTGGTCTTTCGTCGGTTCGCCCGTCTCCACCCTTCTTGTCGTCATTTTACAACAGTGTCAGTGAGGTATTGCTGCGAATTTGCGAGGATGTCTACCAAGCTGACGAAGCTTCGGACGACGATGACGTGTCCGGAAGTTCTGACAATGATTAAGTTTTTGGCATCGCCCTGTGATTTAGCTGAGAGGGCTGTAAATAAAGGTTTGTTTCTTTCTTTTGTCCTAATTTCCCCTGTTTCTAAAAAAAAAAAACACCTATATTTGAATTATAATCTTTTATTCTCGGTAGGTTCAATAAGTTGGGGTCGACCTATTTTCGTGTTTCGTGGTTGACCTATTTTCGGGTAAAACGGTAATAGTTTTAAAGGTGTGGTTTCAATTATAATTTTTCTCGGCATCTTCGAAAACTACTAATCACACACACATTACAATGGTATAAGGCCCGCGCAGCATTTTACGGCGTTCCGAGAAAATGCTCATATGGAACACGTTTCTTGGTTTCGGTTTCTTATCGGGGCGCATCTCCGCGTGGGCAATCTCGCCCCCCCCCTCGCAACGTGCGTCCGTTGCTACGCATTGCACGTGAGGTGCGTCTTAACTCTGCCACCGATGTCAAAAAGGCAGACCTCACTTGACAGTCCGGAGGCTTTCCTATATAGACTTCTCTATGTGCGATGCATGGCGCCACACACGTGCATCCTATGGTGAATTCCACTTGTAGATCCGGATCGCTTTCCAAATTCTGCAAAAGAGGCAAAATTCTGCTCCGTGGGACCCGCTCCTAAACGACGAGGGGAAGAGGAACTCGTGTTTTTGGAGCGACCTCCCCCACCCAACCCCCCCCCCCCCCCCCCCCCTCCCCGCCTGAACTTAACAAGCCCACCATCGCCTCAGCCGACTGATCTTTCCGACGACCAGTGACAGCTGTCAGTGCTTAGCTGCAGAAATAAAACACACGACACAGGCCGGGCAAAATTATACGTACCACCCAAGGAGCCCATGTCAAAAACAATGAGAAAGACGTCCGCGTTCGCCACGGTCGCATTCCTTTCGGCTGCCTCGAACCGGTGGGGCACGCACACCGATTGCCATTGGTAAAGTTAAAATTTCTGGTACGACTTTATTAAACACGGAGGTAACAAACCATCACTTGCACGGTTGTCGCCTAATCAGTTTTTGGTTTATTGCACGAAAAAATGCGGGGGCATGCAGTGTAAAAAAGTAAACAATCGGTGGCGGCAAAATGAACCGGCCTAACCTTGGATCCACCTCCTTCAGATTTTCGGCCTTTCTTTTTCTCATTGTTCCTCTCACGATCACAGATGACAGCGCTTGTGATTTGCCCCGCTTTAGTCCCGGCTTTGCATTTGTTATCTACGCAAGGTAGATAGGCTCGGGCCGTCACAATCCCGCATAAAACGACCGACGCATCCAAGTAGATCCAGCTCGACCGACTCAATGCTGTTGGCGGTGCGGCTGGTCGGCTCACCCCCCCCCCCCCCCCCCCCCCCCCCCCCCTGACCTCTTCACGCATGTGCCACGGCCAAATTAAAGGATATGATATGGTGCGTTCTGCCAACTTCAGCAAAGTTCCCTGAAATCCCACGGAGCAAGTTCTGCGGGGTTGGAGACGCTGCATGGAGCGGGCGCTGCCAGAGATGTTCGAGTGAAAGATGACCAACTCGAGCCAGATCTGCGAGCAGAATATGCGAGCTCCAAATGGAGCGGTTTTGGAGCGCTCGAGATCTGCGAGCGGAATTCACCATTAGACACGAGGGCGGGATTGTTTGCGAGGAGATGCGCTCCGATAAAAAACCGACACCATTTCTTCGGAACGCCGTAAAATGCTGCGCATGCCTTTTACCATTGTAACGTATGTAGTAGTTTTCGATGATGCTCACTAAGATTCTATTAGTAACCATGCCTTTAAAATCAGTCATTAACAATTTAATTACTTGGAATTACCCAATTATGCTGGCAGTAGTTTTTCGTGATGGCACGTGCAAAGGGCCTAAGCTGGCGGGGTGATGGTAGCTACGAGCCCATTGGAACACTCGTATCTCGATTTTTCACCGCATGCCCGCGCACCCACCCACATCCACGTAGAGATCGTGGTCGGGCGATGAAGGGGAAGTGGTTAGCTTCAAGGTGCATGCCACGATGTAGGGTATTGGGCTTTCTGGCACCAGTGGGACCCAAGCAGTGGTGCAGCCATTACAGAAGATAGTAACAAAATAGTGTCACTCTTCAGATCGTCAAAAATTAACGGGTTAGTGAGATTCGTTACCGTCGTACGAACGTCAAGATATACCGTTACAGTAATTTTCAAAACCTAAGGAACTTTATTTTTGCGTTAATTTGAATTGCATTATTATTTGGCAGCGAAAGGGCGATGAGATGAACTTAGACAACAGTTCAGCTACTACAGAGCAGTGTTGCGGAATGGGCACCCCCATTCCATTCCAATTCCCTTCCGGGGAGTTAGAGCCTTCGATAATTCAATTCCTTTCAACTCCTAGGAATGGGGACACTGGGCCCATTCCCACTCCTGGAACGGCTGAATCGTTCCATTCCATTCCTCTAATTCCTGAACGTAAAAATTGGCACTTGACAGCTGCATTGCTTTGCAGGGTTGGGCAGAAATAGTCAGAAATGTATTTGAAAATACAAATGTTGGGTTAGATGAAAATAGTAGCTAAAATACTGATACTCAAATATATCTGTTCAAATGTATCGCGATACTTATCGGAAATACATTTTCAAAAAAGTCTTTGGAAAATCAAATACAGGAACACAATTTAAGGAGGGCAGAAATATAAATACTGATAATGCAATACATTTTTCAAAATTTTTTGAGACGCCAACTGAGATGAGACTAAGCTTGAAGTGGAAGTTTTTTTTTTGTTTTTTTATCCCGAAATTACTTTCTCGCAGGCTTGGCGCTTCGCCTTAAAGGTATGGTTCCGGACGAAGAGAAGTCTTCAATGGGTTAAAAAAAAAAGTTTCATCAAGGATTGACCGCGGTTCCTTCCCTGGCATCCTGTCTGTCTAACCGGTGATGCGAAGTAAGGGCGCCCCTGTCAACACTGATCACAATACGTCACGGCGG